TTAGGTTTGGACTAATAATAGTAATAATGGTGTATGAGTTTGTGTGTGAGAGGAAAGTTGATATATAATTGTAGTTTATTTGGAAGTATCATAAAGTTTGGAGTAGAGACTAGACTAGAGAGGCTTTTTGAGTGTGATTTGGGGGTATTTTCAAATAATATAATAATGGTGGTGGAGATGACTCTGCAAAACCAAGTGTCATCACCTTTGTTAGTGAGTGTGTGTTGTGTGTGTGTGTGTGAAGTAGGGTCAATAGCATTTGGAGGGGTAAGGTGATGTGTGTATAGTTTCGGTTGTGAAATTTCGGAATTTCCTTTTTTTTTTTTGGTTCTTGAGAAGTTTTAATAGTCCAATCTTGAAAAGATGATAGTTATTGAACATTGGTATGGTCGGAGTTACAGTTGACATCCAATCCGATCATTTCGTTTGAGATTGGATTAGACGGGACCTCTGTGTTAAACTTCTTCCTCTCCGTGTTGACGATCCCGTAGACTTAGACTAGCTAACAATAGTCTTGAAAACTTTGAGACTTTCTTATTCGAGAGTCTTGATTTGTGTTCTTAATTACTTTGAAGTTGTTGTCTTCATATCTGTTTCTTGTGATTACTGATATTCATTAAGACATGGATGAATGAATGAGTGGTGAGAACGAGTTTATTTGATTTGTTTGTTAGTTGTTATTTTCCATAGTGTGTGGTTGTTTAAGTTTATTTAGTAGCTAGTTTTATGAAGGATTTAGACTACTTGTGTACGTGCAATTTCCTTACATGAGACCATGTTTGAAACCTATTGTGACTCGAACCCAGTAATAGTATCTTAAGGAGATCGAACATACGATAATCTTATCGTGTATAAGATCATTAATGGGGATATGCACATGGCTTCTATCCTATCAATTTAGAAATCAAATAGAACAAGCTCAACATGTCACTATTTTCACAAGAATCTTCATACAAAACCATGTTTTTAGCAAAGCTAAAAAAGTTACTTCATTATCAATATGCACCAAATGTCACTCACCCTATGAAATATTATAAGTTGCTTCTTAGAAACAACTCTATTTGTCCCAAAAAAAAAAAAAGTTAGAATGTGACACCCAATGACAAATTATACCAAACCACCACACAAAGTAAATTACATTTCATAATTTTATTTGGGGGTGTCTATATGTACACCCCCTTGTGTGTAAAAAAGGGGTGTACATATAGCATTGCCCTTTGTGTATTTTATTAAAAAGGGGTGTACATATAGCATTGCCCTTTTATTTTTTTTTTTCATATAAAAGAAAAGTAGTAAGATGATAGAAAGAGAATCTAGAGAGAGATTAGTCTCATTCACGGTGGTCCACCTTTCTCCTCACGCCATTTCATTACTTAATAGAGAGATAGATAGAAAAAAAAAGGGGCCATGAAAAGGTGTTTGATTTGATATGTTTGCTTTGTTTTCATCTTCTTATTATAAGTTTGGAGAAATAATACGGTCCCGTTACAGAACCATTCCGTCGGAGTTTGTAATCTTTAGATTATTTATTCCTAACAGTTACATGATGATCTAACGGTTACAAACCTCTACGAAATGGTTCCGTAATAGGACCGTAGCATCTGGTTAGTTTGATTTTGCAACATTTTGATTGTTTTTATCGAACTTTTTTTTTTCTTCTTCTTTTTCATTACGTTTAACACCTGAACCGGATAAATTCCTCATGGGGGAGATATTTTCTTTTTCCGGTTCTATTGGAGGATATCAGTTCACACGTTTACATCTTGCTTAAAGAGAACAAATTGACTCCTCAATTGATTCATGTGACAACTGAAGATAAACCCTAAAGTTTGTTATAATTGACTACCCAAAAATAAATTTAGAATTATCAATAATTATCTAGGGAGTTCATAAATCAATAATTTCAAAAAATAATTGATGCTGATGTGATGTAAAAGTAATAAATATAAATTGATAATATCAGTGACTAAATTATGTAAGTAAATAAACAGACGGAAGTATAATATTAATTATGTTTTATTTGTTTTAATTGGGTTAGTAAAATTATAGAGGAAAAAGTGAGATAGAAATAAATAGTTACAGAAATTTTATACGAAAAATATATAATGTATTACTAATGGTCAAAATTAAATGGAACTTGTTTGAGAAGATGTCAATTTGTTTTTCATTGTTATATTTATATTTTTTAATCCTTCAAATGAAATATGACCTATTATAAATCAAATTGAATGTTTAAATTTTAAATCCCAAAGAAACATCGATCAAGGTTGTTCCCGTTCCAAGTCGAGTCCAGTACTGTTGAGTCTGGACTCTTATGGGATGACCCTAAACCAGTCGGGTCCCAATTTGGACCCCAAGTCAAGGGCCTATGATTTCGGACTCTCATTCAACGGGTCACGCCGTCGGGTCGGAAGGCCAACCCGACCCGAATGCTACCCTGAGATTATTTTCTATCATTTTCCAAGAACATTTGTTTATGGCTTCTCCTTTTTCAAAGGGCTAAAGCAGTGGCCCCTTTACAGAATAACCTGGAAGTGGGATATGGTTCGATTCTATGCTCAGTTAACTTTTGATTGAATAATTTGTATACAACTGAAAATTGTCTTGTATACTTTCATTTTCAAAAATAAAAAAATAAAAAAAAAATAAAATATAATAATAATAATAATAATAATAATCAATTATCTACAATTTATAGAAAAAAAAATTGCATAATTATATTATGAAATATCTTTCTTTGTATATATCATTTTTAAATTATGATATTTCAGTTTGAAAGATAACAACTAATAAAAAACACGACGACATAACAGTTCAAACTGTCTAATAATAATAGTAAAAAGGTAAGAAGTTAAAAGCATGATCAGCTAATGAATTATTGTCGGTAAAATTACAGTTTGGTCCAATTTCAGAACCCAGTAAATTGTTGGCAGAAATTCAAAACACTCTAAGTTAATGGATTAAAAACTACAATTTTCTCAATCATTGCCTTGACTTAGTAAAAGGCTAAATGTTGGTAGGCATTTGAACGAGTCGAGCCGAGCCGAGCTCAAGCACTTAACGAGTTGAGTCGAGTTCGAGCTCAAGATACTCGAGCTCGATCCCTTAACGAGCTGGACTATAGAAAATTATATAAAATTCTCTTTTTCGAGCCTTAACGAACCTCGTTGAGTCGAGCTAGCTTTAAGCAAAAACAAGTCAAGCAGAACTCGAACTTTAACGAGCAGAGTTCGAGTCGAACCGAGTTAGACTCGTTTAATTTATCAGCACTAAATGACTAATGCCAAATTTTTAGAAAGATTAATGTACATCACAAGGTAGCCCCCACTAATGCAAGTTGGGGTGCCCAAAGGTTGAAAAATGCCAAAATTGGTAGAGCAATTTTGATGTGTTTGTGGTTTGCTGTTTTTCAGAATCTTGTGTAGGATCTCTTTAGCGATTTGATCATGGATTGTGGAGTTGACGTTGTATAGTGAAAATCTGGTTAATTTGGTAATTATAATACTATATATTTTTTATTTTTTTTTTTATTTTTCATACAAGAAAAAATTGAAATGATAACAATACCGCACAATGAAAAGCCACGTTGAATCCACTAAAGAAGCATGAGTTGACACAATCCAACTTCGATTCATGCAATTTAAAGAGCATTAAATTATGATAATAAGGAATATTTGAAGATGTTTGGATAAAAAAAAATAATTTTTATTGGTTAATTAATTAAATTTTGAAAAAAAAAAAATGTGATATAGTCAGTTATTAGTGAGATTTTTTTTTTAGTTTATATAAAATAATATTTAAAAAAAAAATTAAAGTTGATTTAAAAAAAATAATGTAAAGCGATGGTTAATTAAAATCTATATATCTATATAAGGGAACAGTCCATATTGCTATAATTGGCATGATTTTGGGTGAGAATTTTTTTTTGTCTATATTTGGAATTTAATTAATCTTTATAATTACTAAATCTTATGTAAGAAAGAATTAATTAAGTTTTGTATAATCAATGGCTAATATTCATTAACTATAAAGTGACTTATATAGAACTATTTGACGTATATTGATTTGATATATTTTCAATAAAACCTTATATTAATTTTATAATAATTTATTGACACAATTCTGAAATTTATTATGAAAATTGATTTGATTAAGTATATTATCATCTATTGTTGTAGATATTAATTTAATTAATTATATTTTCCATTCAAAAGTACTTAAAATATTTAATAAAATAATCAGAATAACTATGGTTGAACCATACTAACTTAATGATATAATTTAAAAATTAATAAAAGTTTCTAAAATGTAGTCAACTTAACCATAAAAAAGAACATCTTCATTGGATATATCATTTGTACCAATAATACCATTAAAAGTTAAAATAATATATCAATAAAATCAAAATTTGATGCTTGCGTACAATTCACAATTATAATTTTCACCTTAAAATATGTATGTACATTAAAAACAATTTAAGTTGTAAAATGATATAATTTTTCTTGTATACTATGTTATAAATAAAAATAAGTAAATAAAATAGTCATGTGCAATAATTTAAATTATGACACTTGGTAATCATGGAAATATATAGTATATCTAAATATTGGAATGGAAACTAATTAACTCATCATATAGGTTGAAATTAAGAAATAATATATAGTAACTATTTTCCGCTAAAAAAATATTGTTTACTAAGTCTGGAAACTATTTAAATATTTTATGGTATATTTTAAAGGTACAATTTAGGTAATTGCGACTGATTTATTAAAGTAATAAATTACATAAAAAATATTTTGTATCTCAAGATAATTATATCATATATTTGTACATATATATCATATATATTTGGCAAACATATCAC